CTGTTCTGCTCTTTCTTTTTTCTAAAGCTTCATTATTCATTCTTTGTTCTTGATTGAATCTGACAGAGGAAGGAAATGGAAGGACTTCCATTGCAAGCCCTATCTAAATTCACAGTAGTAGGGTGAGCGGGGATTAGATATATCTTTCCTATATAACTAGTCTCTATCTAATAGAGTAGAGCATATACATGTCTTTCTTCCCTAACGTAAACCAATTAATTATTCATGGATTCCAATTCTAGTTCTGGAATCATTCTTCGAAACATCCATAGGCAGGGGTTGTCTTATAACAATTCAATTCAATACATCTAGTAGACTCCACTCTACCCTAACCAATCCTTTTTTCTCTTTGTCCCCCTTTTTCTTTAGAATTATCCCACCCACATGTAGACAATCAATCTAAATGGACGAATGAATTAGTTTAGTCTGAATCCTTGCATAGCCTAGAAATATCAATATTTGATTAATCTAAGCTAAGTTCATGTAATTTCTTCTTTTTTTCTTTTGTTTAATCGTTGAGAGGAAAAAGTTTAGATCTCTTTCCTTTTTTGACAGACAATTCCCGAAGAATAGGAATAGCACAATCTTTGGTTTCCTATTACTCTGACTCCCTAGGAATACCTTTTCTGTATTTGAAAATTCTTTGTATATTTATGTTCCCTAGATTATCTTGAGCCATGTATACATTGCCTTGGTCTAAGCTAAAAACAAAAGACTATTTCGAAAACTAATCAATGATGACCCTCCATGGATTCGCCTATATAAGCCGCAGCTAAAGTTGCTAAAATCAGAGCTTGAATACCACTTGTAAATAAATAATCCAAGGAACCTAATAGGTACAGGAACTACTAAAGGTATTAAAGAAACAAGAACAACAACTACTAATTCATCAGCTAATATATTTCCGAAAAGTAGAAAACTAAGTGATAAGGGGGTTTTGTGAAATCTTCTAAGATGTGCTAATGGGTGGTAAAAGGATTGTAGTTGGTTGAATGTATTTCCCAAAAGAACTTCATAATCCTTTTTAGCTAAGACCCGCATAGAAATATTCTACTGATGTGAGTAAAGCTAAAGCAACAGTAGTATTTATCTCATTTGTGGGTGCGGCTAACTCTATGTGAGGTAACTGGATGATTTTCCAAGGTAAAAGAAAGAGCCCCTGACCAATTCGATTCGAAAGAAAAAGAAATAGAAAGATAGTTCCAACCAATAAAGAAAGGAAACCCACGGACCTCTTCGCCAATTATTGATCAGAAGCATCCAGCAGCGCCACGTTCGATTCTCAGGGCTAAGGCTTTCCCCCCTCCCTTTTCTTTCCTCCCTGGCTGGCCGTGTCCACCCACACTTCTTCTGAGTTTTGCTCATGTCTCGATTCAAGGACATATGAGAAGGAAGAATGACCGTCAGTAGGAATGGTTTGTGGATTACGAACAGCTATAATGGCTGAAGCTAATAAGATAGCAATTACAACCCAAGAAGTAATAAGTACTTGGGCATGTACTTGGAAACCTCCTTCCTATTTTCCAATACAAAGGCCAACTTCCACACGGATATATTTTATAACCCCTTCCTTTCTTTGTGTGTGTTGATAGAACATAATAGAATGAGTATGAATATTGCCCTCTGAAAGAAATAGAACTGTAAAGGAATTTGATTCAACTGTCTTCCTTCGACTTGCCTACCCTTGCCTTGAGTTGTCTATTTTTGATATCAATTGATTACATTACAATATCCCTACCCTAGTTTTTGATCTCTTTTGTGCGATTCGGGAATAGTAAGCAATTCCCTACCCTAACTCTATGGAGTTCCCTCCCAAATTGATTGATCTTCTTATGAATAATGAATCGGATTTCAGGCATCATCATTCGCTGGAATCGAATTATGAGATCCGGGTCACCATTTGTATCAATTAAACAACTAGTTGGAATTCCCAGCGTGATACATTCTTTCAGAGCCTGATATTCTTCTCGTTGATCAAGGATTATTACAATATCGGGTAACCAAACCCCGTCATATATTTCATCCGCCCAGATGGATATGTTTGCAAGTGAGATAATTGTCTCTTCAAGATAGGGGCATCCCTTTTCGGAAGACGGTTGGTTGAGTCCCCCCGCCTTTTGTTCCGTTCTCAAGTCCCTGAACTTATTCAATTTCGTTTCGGTAGTAGACCAATCTGTTAACATCCCCCCGAGCCTTTTTGTATTAACATAATGCCACCGAGCCCTTGTTGCAGCCGGGGCTACTGAATCCGCTTCTTTTTGGTACCAACAATGAGGAATTGTTTGCCCTGCCCCTACTTGCTGCATCAAAAATGAAATCACAAGCTTCTGATAAAAAACTAGCAGTTCTAGTGAGGTAAGATTTAGAATATTCATCCCTTTACGTTTTGCGGAGATATATCTAAGGTGTCATTCTAGGATTCCATTTCCTAGTACCATGAGGAAACTGAACTAACTCCTGCTTCCATCATCTCTTCCAAATGGATGTTCCAATATCTTCTTGTTTGTCATTTCTCCCCCCACTTCCTCGCTCGCTTTTTTAAGAAACAAAAAGGAGACGAGCTGAAATAGAAAGAAATCATTGTTCCCATGGAACCTTCTTATCCTCTACCTCTACCGGGGAGTGACTGTTGATACACGATCCAAGCCATTCATTTTTTTATATTCGTTATTATCTGACTTAACAGGATGCCTCTACTTTGAGAAAGAATGAAATCCTAGAAATTCTTGTTCTGATCTATCATGTAAATTCGTTGAAATGCAAAAATGCAATAATTGTTTGTGGTGGAACAAAATCTCTCTCCCCCTCGACTAATTTGTTTGGGGGATTTTCTAAAGGAATATTGTTATGTTGCCTCGAACGGTGTGCTAATTCTCTGAATCCGGTACCAACGGGCATCATTCCTCCTAGAAGTTCTCTTTCCAACCTCTCACCCAATCGATACTCGGAGGGCGGCTTTTGCTAAAACTCGAGCAGTTTCTTTCTTGCTTCCGATATTCTTGTTGGTTGAGTATTTATAGATGCTTTTGTTATTCCCAATAATAGGGGGCTCGGTAACGAATTCTTCCAAAGCACGCCCTGCTGTTCGTTTCACTGGCAACAATCCAATGAGTTCTCCAGGTGAACATTAGACATTCTTATGAAACCAAGACTTTTAGAATTTATATATGTCTATTATGGATCTACACCCCCTGCCCCTGGGATCGAGAACCCTTTTTGATCTTACTAACCAAAGAGATACGACTTTGCACTTTAGTTCAGCACCAATCAAACCCAAGGAATTCCAATCATTCTTCTTATACGCGAGTTCCATTCCAACCAACCCTCAATTCTCTTTTCTAGGTAATCAAAAGAACGCACTTCTATCTAATACTTCAGACACTTTTGGAAGACCTGCGTCGCCAGATCGTGATTTTGCATATATCAATGTAACTAAGGTATGTATCTCCTTCTCCAAGGATTTCTCCATAATGGCCAAATAAGGCTTAACTTATCTTATCTTATTACTCCGGAATCAACTCGACTTGAACAATGAGAATTTGACCCGATGTAGAAAATGCCTAGCTTGAATGATTCTTGTTGATCGAATATCTCAAGGCAAGAACACTTCCATGAGATTCGAATCACTCCACAAGCAAGATTGATCGTGTCGAGCTTGAATGATTCTACATGCAACCTAAACTACATAGAATTGCAAAGAAACTTAGCCATTGGCTAAAGAAGAGCACAAATGCTTCTTTTTACTATATTTTTCCAAGTCCCTTACACATACAACATACATGGCTTTATATAGCCTCAAAATGAAACTACTAAAGTCATTCCAAGAGTTGTAACATTGATACTTAATGGCCATAATTAACCATTATGTAATTGTAACCTATAGTAAATAAAGTCTTAAAATACATAAATGAAATACAATAACTCTAAATTGTAACCCACCCAAAATTTATAACAATCAAACTTCATTATTCTTCAATGTGGCATGAATTGAAACATCTTTTGATAATTTTGACAACCTTTTCTTCACATCTTCATTGAAGTATATTGTATGATTGATGTCTTTTGGTTCATATCAAATTCTCTTGTAAGCAGCTAATCTAATGAATTTCTTCTTCTTCTTTCATTCTCACTGTAAACACATAGGAATAAGATTGAGTCTTGAAAAGCAGCTAATTAATTTACTCGACTGTAAACAAGGGGTTCACTATTTGATGGTCTCTTCTCTCTCCCAGATTTCTCGAACTGTAAAAAAGGGAATAAATAGAGGTTCAGTCTCATTCCTCTCTATTCTTCCTAATTACCCAATCTGGTTTTGGATCAGTCGCTTCTCTTTCTCTTCGTTTACAGTTACAGTTAAAGAAGAATAAATAGGGAATATCGGTTCAGCTGGCTGAATGAGTAAGTAGCGAGAGGATCAAGATCAATTCAATCAAAGAGCTACTGAATGAACACCTATTTACCTTGTGATGAAAGAATAACCGAACAAGAACGGAACAAGGAGTTAAGGAGAATGAAGAGTAAAGGGGCGAAGCCGAGGTGAAGGATTTCTTATTCTTTTCTTTCCTGTAAAGGTGAAGGAGAAAGAAGAAATAGGAGTAGCTCGACAGTAAAGGTTCCGGGAAGGGAGGTTCAGGCAGAAGAAGAAAATGAAGGTGAATGAGCTGATCTTTCTTTCATTTATTTCGTCTCATTCATCTTGACTTCCTTAATGCAATAACTGAACACTGCTTACTTAGTATAGTTATATTCCCATCATTCATCTTTCTTCGTCTTTCCTTCCAGTTCACTCTCATTAAGCTTGATTTACTCTTTCCTTCCTATAATTCATCTTGTCTTGTTTTCTCTTCGTTTACTTTGAATAAATAGGTGTAGGTCAGGTAATTGAGTATAAGGTTCTGGTTCCGAAGGAATATCTGATTCTGATTCAGGTTCAGGTTCAGGTTCAGTAGTGAAGGAGCTACTTTGACCACCAGAAATCAGGTCAGGTTATATCGGTTCAGGAAGTAGTTCAGGATCATTCATCTTTAGTTTCGTCTTTCAAAGAAGCTGCTAATTCATTGATTCTTCTTCTTTCTTTCACTGTAAACTCTCTTTTTTTCTTTCTTTCTCTTATTCTTCTTTGATTTTATTCTTCAATTCATTCTCTTTGTCTTTTACCTTGTAAAATCATGTTCAGGAGCGAAGCAATGGAACCGACAATGAATAGGCGAATGAGCTAAGCAATGAGAGAGACCACCGATAGGGAGAGGAGTGAAAGAGGGTTTAGGGGAAGGAGTTCCATCAGGTTCAGGGGAAGGAGCTTGCTTCTTTTCTTACTGTTCAATCAAGGGCATATATATCGGTTCAGGAGCGACGAAGCCACGAGACCGAGTTCAATCATTCAAAGGTTCAGCGGAGTTAAGTCTCATTCATCTGGAGTATTTCTCTTTGTTTACAGTTCAATAAGCTCAGGTCATATATATCAGTGAAGGAGAATGAATCTTGTTTGTTGAGTTGAGTCTTTGCAGCTAATTCATTGATTCAAAGACGGTAAAGTCGAATTAATCTTGAGTTGAGTCTTTCCTTGATTCATAAGGGAGAGGTTCAGGAGCGAAGGAGCTTGACTTATAGTTTAGTTTACGAGGCGAATGAGCGAAATGAGACCGGGCGAAGCAGCTCCATGAGAAGAGGCGCGAAGCAGCTCGACTGTAAAGGAGAGGAGAGAAAGAGGGTTCCTTCACTCTCATTCATCTCTTTCTCCTGTAAAACAGCTAAGCTAATGAATTTCTTCTTGTTGAGTCTTAGTTTACCGTGAAAGAAGGAAAAGGAGAATGAATCTTGAGTTGAGTCTTGACTTGCAAATTACCTCAATAAATAAGGGAAGGTAATAAATAGAGGAAAAGGGTTTCGCTTTCGGCTTTGCTTCTAGTTCAGTCGCTTTACCTTCTTCTCATTTGACTCTCCTCTCCTGTCAAGTTCTGGGAATAGAGGTTATTGAGTTCAATCTATCTCATTCATCGAGAGTTGAGTCTTCACTCTCATTCATCTTGAGTCTTGACTTCCAGTTCACTCTCATTCATCTCTTTTCTTTTCTTTCCTCTCCTTCCTGTAAAGTTAAGGATTTCATTCATTGACTCGACTCGACTGTATAGGTTCTTCTCATCTCATGCAGCTCCTTTTCTTATTCCTATTTATTCTTGAACAGTAAACTCGGTCTCCCAGCTTCGCTCCCTCCGTCTTAGTATACTAACTTAGCTTATTAGCCGTCACTCAATGACTTGTGGCCCAGTGTCTACAAGCTCCCAAAGAGAGTCAGTCTTTCTTCTATCAACCATATATATGGTCGGTCTGGGTTCTGGCTTTTTTCATTAGTATCCCATTCTGCTATGGCATTCCCGCCGCATTCGCTCGAGACGTCCAACAAGTTCTCTCTCCCATTGGTAGGCAGAAGATAAGGGTTTTGGAGGGTAAAGGTGTGTATCCTACATACTTTCTTTGTTATGTTAGCATCGAATCTCTCTAGCTGAGCTTCGCTATGTGAACTCCTCCCTCTTCTTTACTTTCCAGTCTCGCAGCTTTGTTCGTCTCCTCCAAGCTGCATAGTTTGAAATATGGATGATCAGCTAAGGTTCACAGAAGGTTGGGACCTATTTTGAAGTGAAGCATAAGGAAATCGGCACACATGAATGACTTGAATTCAATACATCCCCGGGAAACTCTACAATAATGAGTTTAATCGATTGGTCTGAGGTCTGTGCTCTCTCTGTCCCCAAAATCCTGAGATGGATCGGTCCCTTGAATATGCGTACTCGTCCCGTCCAGGCCCTATACAAAGGTCGAATTAGCTTGAATTAGTTCCTCTCTTCTTTCTTCCCCTGTAGCAGGAAGAAGTCAACATTCATCTCTTTCTGTAATTCAGCCTGTAACTTTTGAAGGTGCAAAATCTATAGAAGTCGAATCTGTTTCTCGTATTGGCATTTTGGAAAACATTGGCTAATCCGTCCACATTAATCCCTCTCTGTCTTTTTCAAAAAATGGATGTTTTCTTCCGGTCTTTCCATCTGTCTACGGCTATTTTCTTGTTCATCCTGCCTTCGCCCTTTTCTTTTATTAGCAGCTCTTCGATCAACGCGGGTTCGGGTCTCAGAGGCCATTTTTCTAATCCAAAAGGTCACTTTCATGGCTTTAGTGGGTCAATCAGTAGTACCTTTCAAAAGTCTCGTTTTTGGGCTGGATTTTTAAGCGTAGTTTTCCACTCGATTTTCCACTCTATATAGTTAAGGAGTGGAGCTGGAGAATCTCCCTCCGCCGATAGGCTACTACATTTGTTCGTTTTCTTGTTTGAAATTCCAGGTCTGGTCTTCATTGGTATTTGCTGCTCACCCACTACGTTTTGTTTTCGTTTTTCTCCGGCTCGGTCGAGCTGTCTGAGGTCGATGGTGCATCCGGAAAGCTCTTTCAGTATTCATCTCCAGAGCCCGGTCAGATGCTTCAATCCTTCATTCATATTCTGTCTCCTTCTTATATTTTTGATGTATATATTGCGAGTTTACTGCTCTAATCTTTTATTTACTAGTCTTCCCTTCACATGTTAGAAAAAGGCGGTCTGTCTCCCCTAGACCTTATTCCGTCCAAGCTCTCATAGCATTCTTCGTCTTTTTTCCTTCTCTGCAGCACATATATATTCTGCTTTATAGAGATCTTTTCTTTATGGTTTTGAGTTTGTTCATGGGAGAAAGAGTTTAGGAAACCAAGCATGGTTTAAGCGAAAATCAATACACATTCAAGGAGTTGTACACGAGTTTGGTAAAGCATTCACCTATCGGTTGTACATCGACCTGTCGGGAAACTCTAAACTCTCCCGCAAGCGTCCTTCTTAGGTCGGCATTTGGGGCCTTGCTTGTTCGTTTTGACTCATTCTTTTGATTGCCATGTCTGCTCCGTCTGCTGGTATAACATAGATGTCTTCTCTCTCAATAGCCAATCAATCAGGCAAAGCAGGAGCCAGCACACCGAGGGAGGAATCCCTTACTTGTTCGGCTGGCGGATGCAGTATAGTACAAGAATGTGTATAAGCCAAGTTCGGTACACCAAGATGTTACACAAATCTCTTTCTTTCAAATAGGTTATCACATGCCGGCCAATCAACAAAGATCTGAAGAATGACCGACCCCTTTTTGAGCCTACGAAAGGAAATTCCATTTGAACATATAACAAAGGCATGAATGGGAGAATGAATACGATACCATAAGGAGGAATTTCTCGTTCTTCATGCCGAAGGAGGAGGTATATGGCAATACCCAAGGTTACGATAAAAGAATAGGACAAAGGTCTATATTCAAGTCAGAAATCAAGGTAGCAAGCCCATTTGAAGAGAGTTGTTACACGAGCAAGCTAAGTCCATTAGAGTGAATTTCTTTGAGCGCCATGTTCAAGCAATATCATGAACGTACGAGAGGAAATGAACATGCTCAAAATAGGCCTTTTTACGACTTCAACGAGATTGATGTTATAGTAGGCGGATCCGCCGAGCGATGGTATAAGAAGAATTAGGATTCCAGAAAGCACATGAAAGAACGAAATCAAGAACATACCGAAGGAGCATGGGGCAGACTTATGCTTTTATTAAGGTTCAATACTCTTTGTTTGTTTGTGTTAGGCTTTCCCCCCACTACACTATGCTAGTTACTAACTTAGGTATCTAGCCCAGAATCCATGGAGAATATCAAAGAGAGTCAGGAATTTCTCGAACAAGCATATCAGCAAGCTACAGCAAAATTCAACCAAAAGCAAAGCTTTCGACGATTTCGATTTGAGTTTCTGGGTTTCCTGAGAAATCTCTTGTTTTTTGTTCTTCTTCTTTCCTGGTCTTGTTTCAATTGTAGTTCTTCGGTTGAGTTCCTTCTTTTATTCAAATGCAGCCCATTCCTGGTTAGCTCTCTGCTCGGGATGCATGGGCTGGGCGCCCGTTCTTCATTCCCATCCTTTCCGTTATGTAAATGGAGACTTCTCCTTCCACTCTCCAATATAGGGAACCTCTATCGATCATCTCACATATCTGTCTGTATCGTCGGTCGGTCGTATTTCTTTCAGCAAGAGGACGGGACGTGTTAAAGCAATAAATATCATAGATCTCAAGCTAGATCCACGTGCGCAAAAATGTGTGATTTCATAGGGGCGTAAGATACCTTACTAAAAATCAGGAATTAGTGGAAAATGCCTGAAAGAAAATAGAGTAGCGAGGCGGAACATCGGCACGTGCGGGGAGGCTAGCGCAGGTAAGCTCACATAAGGGTCTGAGCTCATATGTCGTACTCTATCATTGGCATGGCCGGCATGGATTCATTCGATTACGTTTTACTCTTCAAAATTCATCGATGGATTCCCGGAGCTGGAGTTGGTTACACACAAATCTACTTTTCTTCGATATCCGAGTCGAGCTGGTCTCACTTTGATTAGTTGTGCTCTTTCTGAGCCTATGGGAGAAGGCATCTTTGCACGCTTTCATATAGAGAGGTCGATAATAGACCTTATTTCACGCCTATAGACTCAATCGAAAAAGAAAGAAGTATGGGGATTTACAAATTTCCATTCTTATTTGAGTACCTAGGGAGGGCAAGATCCTGAGCTTCGAACAAGAAAAGAAAGAAGAGAGGCACATACTATCAACAATCTTTCTTTGTTGGGTCAGTACATCAGCGAAGCGCTTCCCGTTCGCTCTTTTTCATTCCCATCATTCTTTTGCCAGTTGTTGGTGGAAACGAGGGAGCTCTTCATTTTGGATTTCGTATATATGGGCATCCTTATTAGTTTAGTCCAAACTCAAAGTTCACAAACTCCAATGATTCCACATGAAAGAGTACGAGATCTTCTTGGGGTTCTCAACATAAAAAAAAAGGTTTAGGTTGAATGTTGAGCTCAACCTCTTATTCATTTTGATAATAAAGAAGGATCTTAGCTTTTCGCATTCTCTTTAAAAGGACTTTATTTTGATTCTTGGGATGAGTGTACGGACGGTAAGCAGCTTCCCGGACTTAGCCGAGGTCAAGATGGTTCGGGGTTCAGGCGCATCGAGCTCAAACTCTTTCCCTGGGTGGGACATGGATCTCGATCTGCCTCCATGGGAAGAAGTAGAAGTTACCGTTAATTGAGGAGGCGAACCCGATATGGATGTGTGCGGGGAAAGGGATCCAGCCCGCATTAGGGCGATTGTATAGGCCCAACTGAAAGAAAGGGTCGCTCAAAGCAAGGACAGGGGGGGTCCTTGAAGAACAGGTCCAGGCCGAAATCCTCCGCCGGGGATTGTCTCGCTCGGATTTCTATTTCTGCATGCGCAGCGCTTTGCTTTGATCCTGAGAACTTGGAAAAAAAGCACAAATCTTTTTCCCGGCTGGTAACGCAGCTTAGAAAGATGATAGCTCCATAAACTATTAGGTCAAACGCAATATTGAACGCAATCTTCTCTCTTTCATTTTCCATGAATGCAAAATCAGCTTCTAGCAATATAGTCTCGCCCCACTCTTGATAGTGAAAGAGGGGCCCTAATGGAAGATGGGCTTTTTCTTCTTCTTTTCTTTCTTTTTCGGTATGCCGCTCCGCGATCAAGGAGTGAAGCTATGAGCCCGAGGTGTAGAGGCAAATAAGCGAAGCTACTCGACCATAAAGAATAGGGAGAGGAGCGAGAGAACATAAATCGAGCCTAATATCATGAATATCCTTCGCCCGTTATCTCTTCATCTTTCTATTTATAAGCCACAGCTCACTTCGACGTTTCCAATTTCCCATAGAATCTCCGGGGCTTTCCTAGCCACTCTCGTTTTGTTTTTTTATCTTCTTTGTCTGAAAATAGGTTTGATTTGCTTCACCCATGAGAATTTCTACAGATTCCTCTTTTATTCATCAAAACTCATCCTAATCTCCGTCGAGATTACTTCCTTAGCCATGTCCTATCATCTGTATAAGGGGGTTTGTCATTTATTGATGGATTTTGTTTCGTTTCGGAAGAGAGAGAGAAAGACAAATTGATGATGATTGATAGCTCTCTTCTTTAAAGCTTATGCCGTATCAGGCTATTGGCGTTTTATCTGCATCTTCCTGACCAAGACCCAGAAAGAAGGGGTGAGCTTTGTTTGGGATGAACTCGCAAAGACTCGACCCGAGGACTTCCCTCGTAGAGTGGCGTCTTTTATAAGACTCGACTTTCCTTGAGAAGTGGAACTCAAAGGGAACTAAAAAAAAAGAGGTTGAGCTCTTTTGGCTGACATTTAGCCCTTTCGATAAGGCGGCTATCCGCATGTGTCCCAAAGTGACGTCCATTTTTTGGTAATGATGGGTATACTCGAGAGAAAAGTGTGGAATTCGACCTCATACGCGGGGTCATGGACTCCTTTTTCGTTTAGAGGATCCCATTTCTTTCGACATGAAATTCTTTATTGTTGAGCCTGGTGTGGAATCACAATTATTACACATTCATTGTTGGTCTGGCTGCTGGTCTAGCGATCCCTCCTAGCCGCCGTCGTCAGTGCAACCTGCCTATTGAAGACCGAAATGTAAGTAACTCAGTGCTCTATACGAGGAAAATGAAAGTAGAATTCGTTCGGATCCTCCCACATGTTCAATCTTTTTTTAGCGGTTTCCCCAGAGATATTTATCATTAATACAACTTTCATTTTGCTCATTCATGGAGTTGTATTTAGTACCTCTAAGAAATATGATTATCTCCGTTAGTCAGTAATGTGGGTTGGCTTGGATTACTTAGTGTTGCGCGCCTAGGAGGGCAGCACGGGGATGTAGATGAGATATTATCACCCAACTCCCTAACCTAATGTGGCACCGGGTTCGGGCTGCAGGGAACTGTAGCATGGGGGGACGTCTAATCCTTTTACTGCCGCAAGGCTGGCTAATCGTACGCAGCAGGCTCGAAGACCCCTGGTTCTGGAAGGCACATAAGTCCGAACGCTATGTTGAATGTGCCACCAACACTACACTACGTAGGTACCTGTGCAGGTGAGGCGTCGGTCGGTCCTAGAAACGGCGGCAACCTAGGGATCTCACCAGGCGGCTCCTTCCATCTATAGGGATTGGGGGGGCATAGTACAATTCTTCTTGGAGGAGGGTTGGTTTGCCCCGGTGACTGATCCTGCCATAATGTACTCCTACCTATAGCACCGGCACCCGAAATCGAGCATACATACCACGATCCTCATGCGTGAATAGCCGGGAGGAAAGAAAGGGCGGTAAATGATAATGAAAAAGGGCGTATGCACGGGCGGAATGGATGAGCGAAAGGTGCCATGGAGTGAGGAATATATATCTCGAGTCTCATGTAAGACAACAAAACCTCGAGGTGCTGCGAGAAACTGCGGGACCTTCTCGAACACAGGATAGGCAATTGAGATCTCGAGCTAGCCTATTCATTATGGGGAATCAATGCTCCGGCCCGAATAGAGCTTACCTCCGGCACTTGGCTTTCTCCTAGCTTAGCTGCGCTTAATAGGCCGTTTGGGTTCCTCTCTAGTGGCCTCCTTACCTTACTACCCACTCTACATACACTCCCACTCCAAGCTATGCCTGCTGAGCAAGATGCATTGCAATTTCCTCTTCTGTGGACGCACCGGAATATGATCCGGGACGGGAAGGAAGAGAAAGACTTTTTTGCGGGCTTTCTCTCGTAAAGCCAAGCCCCAAGACAAGGTAGAATTGTTGGGAAGGGGACATGAGAAGAAAGAGAACCTGGCTGGATTCGGGCTGGTCTCGTGGCGCCCATTCCTAACCAGTTCCGAAAGGGTTCGCTCATGCTGGAGGGAGCATCCACACTGAGTGATCGGTCCGCTAGTTCACGCAAATCTGAAGAAGTTATCACGGACGAGCCACATGCAGGGAAACTTGCACGTGTGGTTCTGGCCGGGCTTTCCTGAGATATCTAATAACCTTGCTTCTGCTCGCCGCTGGCGCACCTCTCCTAACTATTGCCCATTTATTCTGGAATAATCTTTTTAGGAGGGACAATTTTACATATTTCTGCCAAATCCTTCTATTATTAAGTACGGCTGGTACCATTTTGATGTGTTTCGATTCTTTCGAACAAGAGAGGCTTGATGCTTTTGAATTCATTGTATTAATTCCACTTCCTACTCGCAGTATGCTCTTTATGATCTCGGCTCATGATTCAATTTCCATGTATTTAGCTATTGAGCCTCAAAGTTTATGTTTTTATGTGATGGCAGCATCCAAAAGAAAGTCTGAATTTTTCACGGAAGCCGGCTCGAAATATTTGATCTTAGGTGTATTTTCCTCTGGAATCTTACTGTTTGGGTACGACCTGACAACTACTGATATCTCAAAATCTCCTTTCTGAGAATATTGGTTGTGATATTGATCTTACGGGGGGAAAGAAATCAAACTACATATACAACGTCAGACCCTCTATGTAGTTGTCGAGATAGGGCGATCGATCTACTTGTCCATAGCCCTGGGGCAGTGTCTCGATCTCCTACGTGCGAAATCTGAGGGACTAGTTCCTATGGAGATTCCCCTTGGTCTAATTCAACGCCTTATGACGAAAGGGCAGTCGGCGTGGCGTAAAGTGAAGATCGAGGGAAGTATAGTAAAATTTCCTTCAGGGGTATTCCGAAAGGTGTAATCTAGGCAACGAAAAAGGGGCCCCATTCTGAAACTAGAGGCGCGAAGACGCTTTACCTCGTGTAAAGAAGGTGAAGGAGAGTAAATTCATTCAATCAAAACCCTATATTACCGAGTTCAAGAATCAATAGGAGAGAAGCAGCTCGACTGTAAAGGAGAGGAGCGACCAGTTGGTTCACCAAACCCCGACCCAGCGTCCCACGTTCTCCAGGTTCGAAGGGACCAGTGCCAAACTACCGACTCCTCCCAGAATTGCATTATCGGAGCCTAGCCAGGAATGGCCGTTAGTGGACACCCACCACTTTTCACCGGTTAGAGAGGCCCTCTTTAATACATAAGAAAAGATGTTCACAGGGGCCAGAAAGACTCGGTCATAGGAACTTAGACCACCTACACGCTGGTAAACGAAAACCACCTCGACCGGATCAGAGTAAACAAGAATGTCGATCAGGCCCCTTGCCTTGAAAGAATTCACACCACCAGCTGTCCCAAAATCAGGGGAGATCCGCTGCTTACTGTTCACAAAAACATCCGACCGACCTATACGAGAGTCAAGTCGTCCACGTATCTTTCTGATCTCCTTTCCTTCTATTTATTTGAGATTTTTGGGACTCATTCAAGGTGAAAAATGAATGGGGTTGATGGTGTTGGCTAAAAAAGGGGGAGAGAGGAGTAGGCTCACTTCTGCATTTTTGTTTAGGTTATCGAGATTCTCGTTCCAGTCGAAAGATTCTAGTGGGTGGAACATTTTTCACAATCTCTGGAGAGATAGTTCACTAATAGACCAAGGGATTAGTAATTCGACTCATTCACATCCATCCAGATCATTCATCTTTGGAATCCATATTATGCAAGGAGACATTGCTTTTGCTAATTCTAATTTCAGGGTGATATCAAATCGGTCTATTTCCGGCATCATATCCATAGCGCATTCATCTTAGAAGCTCCAGCCTCAAGGTCACGGTCGATATCGTCACTATCATCCACCACTATCATCAATCAATAATCAAACCCTTAAGCTTGTTATCCAGGAACTTGTTTAGAAATACCTGTAATGAAAGGAAGATAGGAGTTTGTCGCTAGGTATTTGACCAAATAGGATGGATCGTTCAGTTCCTATAGAACCTATCACTAAAATACCCCCGGGGATAGGGCTAAGCGGAGGGAAAAGGGTTTTCCATGAGATGGGAAATTCAAACAAACTATTTGATAAGATAAGGAACCACTACAAGGGGAGTAAGATTCGGATTACCTTGTTGATCGAATATCTCAAAGCAAGAACATTGTTTGAGATTCGAATCACTCCACTAGCAAGATCGATCATGTCTAGCTCAAATGATTCTTGTTGATCAAATATCTCAAGGCAAGAACACTTTCTTGAGATTCGAATCACTCCACAAGCAAGATTTGATCATGTCGAGCTTGAATGATTCTACATGCAACCTAAACTACATAGAATTGCAAAGAAACTTAGCCATTGGCTAAAGAAGAGCACAAATGCTTCTTTTTACTATATTTTTCAGGTCTCTTACAAAAACAACATACATGGCTTTATATAGCCTCAAAATGAAACTACTAAAGGCATTCCAAGAGTTGTAACATTCATTCTTAATGACCTTAATTAACCATTATGTAATTGTAACCTAAAGTAAATTAAAAGTCTTAAAATACATTAATGAAATACAATAACTCTAAATTACTCTAAATTGTAATCCACCCTAAATTCAAAACATGAATCTTCATTCTTCTTCAATGTGGCATGAATTGAAATATCTTTTGATAATTTCAACAATATTTTCTTCTCATCTTCATTGAAGCATATTGTATGATTGATGTCTCTTGGTTCATATCACTATTAGCCACACACGAGGTTTGTGAATAAGTTATTGTCTGATAATGAGCAAGGAATGTCTGTCTTTCTGCTAAAGATGAATGTCCACTAAGTCTCGTAAGTCAATTACTCCCTGATAAGAAAAGGAACCACTACAAGGGGAGTAAGATTCGGATTACCTTGTTGATCGAATATCTCAAGGCAAGAACATTGTTTGAGATTCGAATCACCCCACAAGCAAGATAGATCATGTCTAGCTTGAATGATTCTTGTTGATCAAATATCTCAAGGCAAGAACACTTCCATGAGATTCGAACCACTCCACAAGCAAGATTGATCATGTCGAGCTTGAATGATTCTACATGCAACCTAAACTACATAGAATTGCAAAGAAACTTAGCCATTGGCTAAAGAAGAGCACAAATGCTTCTTTTTACTATATTTTTCAAGTCTCTTACACATACAACATACATGGCTTTATATAGCCTCAAAATGAAACTACTAAAGTCATTTCAAGAGTTGTAACATTCATACTTAATGGCCATAATTAACCATTATGTAATTGTAACCTATAGTAAATAAAGTCTTAAAATACATAAATGAAATACAATAACTCTAAATTGTAACCCACCCCAAATTTATAACAATCAAACTTCATTCTTCTTCAATGTGGCATGAATTGAAACATCTTTTGATAATTTTGACAACCTTTTCTTCACATCTTCATTGAAGTATATTGTATGATTGATGTCTTTTGGTTCATATCATTCTCCACTTCTTCAAGAGGTTTCGTCCTCGAATCTATTTGTGAAACTTTGCTGCAAAAAATAAGTTATGGAAATACAAAGGACCTCACAACACTCTCTCACGTGTATACACTCAAGGAATTTTAGGCCACTCTGTTTGCACTCATTTACACAAATGAATCTCTCATCCTCACCTCTCAAATTTTCTAGTAGAGCCCAGATTTGATTTTCTTTTTTTTGGGTCGATTAAAAACTAAAAAGATAAAAACAAATTGAAAAGAAATGCAAAGGAAACATATATCCGATCTTGAGCCTTAAGCTCTGATACCAAATGATAAGATATGGAACCACTTCAAGGGGAGTAAGATTCGGATTACCTTGTTGATCGAATATCTCAAGGCAAGAACATTGTTTGAGATTCGAATCACTCCACAAGCAAGATCGATCATGTCTAGCTTGAATGATTCTTGTTGATCAAATATCTCAAGGCAAGAACACTTCCATGAGATTCGAATCACTCCACAAGCAAGATTGATCATGTCGAGCTTGAATGATTCTACATGCAACCTAAACTACATAGAATTGCAAAGAAACTTAGCCATTGGCTAAAGAAGAGCACAAATGCTTCTTTTTACTATATTTTTCAAGTCTCTTACACATACAACATACATGGCTTTATATAGCCTCAAAATGAAACTACTAAAGTCATTTCAAGAGTTGTAACATTCATACTTAATGGCCATAATTAACCATTATGTAATTGTAACCTATAGTAAATAAAGTCTTAAAATACATAAATGAAATACAATAACTCTAAATTGTAACCCACCCCAAATTTATAACAATCAAACTTCATTCTTCTTCAATGTGGCATGAATTGAAACATCTTTTGATAATTTTGACAACCTTTTCTTCACATCTTCATTGAAGTATATTGTATGATTGATGTCTTTTGGTTCATATCATTCTCCACTTCTTCAAGAGGTTTCGTCCTCGAATCTATTTGTGAAACTTTGCTGCAAAAAATAAGTTATGGAAATACAAAGGACCTCACAACACTCTCTCACGTGTATATACTCAAGGAATTTTAGGCCACTCTGTTTGCACTCATTTACACAAATGAATCTCTCATCCTCACCTCTCAAATTTTCTAGTAGAGCCCATATTTGATTTTTTTTTTTTTATTTTAAGTCGATTAAAAACTAAAAAGATAAAAACAAATTGAAAAGAAATGCAAAGGAAACATATATCCGATCTTGAGCCTTAAGCTCTGATACCAAATGATAAGAAAAGGAACCACTACAAGGGGAGTAAGATTCGGATTACCTTGTTGATCGAATATCTCAAGGCAAGAACATTGTTTGAGATTCGAATCACTCCACAAGCAAGATCGATCATGTCTAGCTTGAATGATTCTTGTTGATCAAATATCTCAAGGCAAGAACACTTCCATGAGATTCGAACCACTCCACAAGCAAGATTGATCATGTCGAGCTTGAATGATTCTACATGCAACCTAAACTACATAGAATTGCAAAGAAACTTAGCCATTGGCTAAAGAAGAGCAAAAATGCTTCTTTTTACTATATTTTTCAAGTCTCTTACACATACAACATACATGGCTTTATATAGCCTCAAGGTAATCCGAATCTTGGAATGACTTTAGAATCTTGGAATGGCTTTATAAGAGCACAAATGAGCTAGTAAATGAAAAATACCCATAACCTCCATATTAAAATGGCTAGTTAATGGTGGAATATAGTAACCTATGTGGGTTACAATATAACCTTAACTCCTATATTTAAAACTAGCTTAAATATGACAAACAAATATTTAAACTATAATAAAATAATGCAATTAATAAAATGTGCTTATTGACTCATCCTTGGACTAGTTTCATAAATTCAGTGGAGTTCATTAAATGCAACTTAAAGTGCATTTAATTCATCTCTTTCTTGAAGCTCAACTTTGCACAACATATAAGGGAGGTCTCCAGCGTCTTCTAGAATTTCCTTTGATGAGCTCACCATAGCTTGAATATAACTGTATAAGGTTTGTTGTAGCTTCTTAGCTCTCGTCCTTGTAATTGGACCTTCAGGTATGGAAATTCCTTGGTCGTGGTTCATATCATTCTCCCCCTCTTGAAAAAGATTCGTCCTCGAATCAAAGCCATCACCTACATCAAAAGGACTCAAATCAACAACATTAAAAGTTGTACTAACACCGTACTTACCTGGTAAATCAATTTTATAAGCATTGTCGTTGATACGCTCAAGAACTTGAAAAGGTCCATCTCCTCGTGGTAAAAGCTTAGATTTTCTTTGAGTAGGAAATCTTTCTTTTCGGAAATGCACCCAAACCCAATCTCCTGGCTTGAAGATGACAAACTTACGTCCTTTATTAATTCGGGTGGCAACCTTGGAATTTTGTTTCTCAATTTGTTCTTTCACTTGCTTGTGAAGTTTATGAACAAACTCAACCTTGGCATTTGCATCAAAATTCACAAACTCTTTTGACGGTATGGGCAACAAGTCAAGGGGGGTTAAAGGATTAAAGCCATAAACAATTTCAAAAGGTGTGCATTTAGTAGTGCTATGAACAACCCTATTATATGCAAATTCTATAAAGGGCAAACAAACCTCCCAAGTCTTAAGA